TATTCAACCAAGAGAATAATATAAACGATTAATTATTACTTAGTCACGTAGAATAATTTAATTTGTTCATTGACGTATGACTTGTAATCATTTAATCTACATTTTAACTATTGTGTTTTGGAAATTCAATGAATGCATAGTATGCTAATGTATAATAAAAAACGATGTTGCAAACAAAAAAAAAAAAAAAAATTCGAATTCATTTTTCGGTTGATCCTAAGATTCGATTGTTATAAAAAAAAAGTTCATTACAAATGATTATTGTAAATTTTAGATTTTCGGTGATACGTTTCATTTTTCAGTTTTTCATCGTTATCCTCAGATAATTAGATTTTATTTTTCATCATCTTTTCTTGAAAGTTCCAGTTAAATTGCTTTATTTGTTAGAATTATTCAAATCAAAATAATTTTCTATAAGATTTTATTACAACCTAATTCTTCATATTATTTATTGTACTTGTTACATCCCGTGTTGTTATTTCGTTTTTGGTTATTTTGTGGCCCTCCTTTTTTTGTAAGTTTGGTTCGATGAGAATTTTTTTTTTTGGCGTGTATATATATATGGTTTGGTAATAATAAAAAAGATTCAAAAGAAAAATATAGTTCAAAAAATGTTTTTATTTTATTATATTTATATATAGAACTTTATAACATGGAATGTCAACAAAAAATCCATGCTTTCTAAATATCTTTTGCTTGAATTAGTTTCTTTACAAAACAAAAAAAAAAAAAAAAAAAAATTTTTCAAAATATATTATGGACCCATCGATGTTATTAGTATCGCATATTTACACTAGCGATTGATCCACGCCAAACAACGAGTGTTTCAAATCATCGAGCATTGGTAATAACATTTTGGCATGAACCCTCAATATTCTCTTTTCATGATTCACCATTCAGAGAATTGGCCTAGGAACCAATAAATGATACCTGTGACAAAATCACCGTTGTCAGCACTCATTTATTGACGCAAACATTATCTCTTTCCACAGAATTAATGCTTCATATCTTATACTAAAATCTATTGGGTTTATATGATCTAGCAAAAATTCAAAAAAATTAATTCTTAACTAATTTAACGAAGAATCGAAAAAAACTAGGTGAAATAAGGCATTTGTTTTATTTTATTTTAAAATAAATAAAAAAAAAAAAACTTTACACGCCTTTTTAAGCATCTTACCATTTCTTTTGATAATCAAAGAATCATCACTTTGAGTTTTGTGATTGTTTATCTGGAAATGTTTCATGAATGGATTGTATTCGGAGCATTTTCCTTCTATAGAAACGTTTCTCATTGAAAAAAATTCTTTGGAAGATTTCTTTGAGGACATTATAACGATAATAATTCAAGCTGTAAAATAAATAAATCAAGCCGCGTCTCAATAGATAGATTTCGATCATCACGAATTTTAGAAAGTTCCTCCAATTGTTCCAATGGAATATTGGGTTTTGTAATTCCTCTCGTGCATTTAAAGCAGATTAATCTCTTTCCACTATCGCAAATATGCCAACACCGAAAAATGATTGAAGTTCGAGATGACGCCACGCCGTCTGTCAATCAACCTGTAAATGCAACTAGAAAGGAATCTTTTAATACGCAGTCTTGTACACTAATATAAAAGAACGACCTAGCTATTATTCCAATGCTCACGAAATCATATCTTGTGAGAGTTTAGTTTAACGTATTGTTAATTTGATATAACTTTATTGATTCCTTAACAATGAGAAAACTTGAACTTGAAGGCTAATACTGCAATAAGTTATACGATAATGCTATCCCAAAAACAGAAGCATAAGCATAAATGGAAATTGAACTTACTATATAATATGATAGCATTTTGCCGATAAATTAATTGCACACCAAAGACTTGGTTTGCACCCTATCACCATGCAGAATCTTCCTCAATTTTTTGGTATTGAAGTCTTCGATAATAGTACCGTTTGTTCACCATTGCTTCGCATAATATGTATGTAGTATAATTTCTTCTTAGCGTTCTTTATCAGGTTGCGCCAAAAATCCCTGACTGAATTTGAAATATTAAATATTAGTATTAGTATAATTTCATTTAGCTGAATATTGATAAGGTGGTTTGTATGCCACACTCTATCCCTATAACCTGTCTGAGTATTGCATTTGCTCCCCGTTCAAATACTGCTTTCTCTCATCATCTCTTAGATACCCCCAGCTTCTCTTTTCAATTCCTTCTGCAGCAACTCCTTTTATTAAGTCTCTATGTCTGCATTCTTCAAACTAACCATTTCAACCCTCAAGATTTCTTCAGCTCGTTATTCGCTTCCACCATCTCCTTCCAACTCTGACTTCTTTGATTGTTGCCACGGTTGTTTCATTTGTTATGTGGGAGGCTGTATTCTTATCTATTAGATGCTGATACGTTCAATTGATTACATTTATTTTCTAATAATGAGGAAAATGTAACAACCTTTGTACCACTTAAATTTTGAAATTTATGTGAAGAACATTGGATGTTAAAAGGACCGAAACAATATTTAAAAATTTAAAAATTAGCACACTAGTTATTCTTTTGATCAAATCTGTATTATAAACTTTTCCAGTTTATACAGTAATCTTCAGAACCGATATTTCGTATTATTACCCTCGTGCATAAGCGAATCGTAGCTTTAATTGGGAATGTAGTAGAGCGGAAGAAATCTCCAATCAAACTTCTGGAAAAAATGAAGTAATTCTTATATCACAGAAACATTATTATGTATTTGGGTCAATTAATTACATTAAAAACATTTGGAAAATTAAATTTATTCTTTAAAATCACGAAAACTTTATTTAATATATATATAATTACAATTTTTTTTTATTACATTATACGAGGACAATTATACAACTAATCAAATACTCTAATTGTATATTTAATTTACTTTAGAATTGAAGCAGAACCAAAGAGGAACCAGATATGGAACGCCCCTTCCCTTGCAGTCTTTTCTTGAAAGTTCGGTCAGATATTGAGACAAAAATTTAGGTTGCAAAAAAAGAATTTGGGCATCTTTTAAAAAATGAATAATAGAGCAATAATTTATTCAAGATACGTTTAAATTAATATAAATTATATAAATTTATAGCACCCTATGTATTGGTAAATTTATAAAGTTTGCCTGTAAAAGAATTTTCTCAACCACTCACTCTCCTCGATGTACTGTCATAGCCTAGAGGCATTCCTTTAAGAATACTTTTTTTGTAGAAATGATTAAAATTACGTATCGCGTGACTGGAAACATATATAAATTTTATACATAATTTTTATTTAACACGTTATATAAAATAAAATCTATTCTTCTAACAAACTAATGTTCATTGGGAATATGAATGAGATTTTTATATTAATACCCAGTAAACCTTGTAATTAATGTAATATAAATATGTATACAGTACATTTTTTACTTTTACTTTTAAAAGTCGCATACGCTACTACGCTATAATTGAAATCGATTAAAATGTTAGAATTGAAATTTTATCGATTTTAAAATTATTTATCATAACATCATATATAAAAGATTAATAAAAATTTAAATAATATTGAATATTCAAACAAAATTTAGCTACGAAATTTAAATTTAATCCTGCCTGACCTTAGACTATACTTGTTGCTCTGGTTCTAAAACTAATGTGAATTTATATAAAACAAAGAATTTAATTTGCATGCTTTTATTTCTTATTACTATCAACTTTATAAGAAAAAAATTTTAACCAAAATTAACATTATATACAGTTCATGTCATATGGTTGTTGGTGTCAGGTGATTCCGCTTTTCCCAAAAGGATGGAATAAGTATATATTTAGTTAGCTTCATGCAAGAACTATGGGAAGCGTTTTTATATATATATATCATAACTGGATCTAAAACAAAAAAATAATGATATAAAATGGACTTCCCCTGCGTAACCTTCAAAAAATGTCACGAAATGGCCGGCATCATAGGCATTTGGCTGGAATTAATTATGGCGTTCATGTTACGTATAGTGGGACAAATAGATATTAATTACTGAAAAATTCTGTCCCCATAATACTTAGTAAAATGAAACGCGGGAGGGAATTAAATACCGGTGACAAATTATATCACGTGAAATTTTTGAAGGTTAGTTTATAAATGTTACTGCGGCAAAATTGGACGATCAAATGTTCCATAGCTGTGCTTAAGTCGAGAAAATCAAGAAAGCAGGTGGGATATGAGCAATTAACTTTCTCTGTAGGAATTATATTGATTTATCTCTGTTCCTCTGCTTTGGATTTTGAATTTAGCCTTTCCAATATCTGCGACCGAATTTTGCCCACTAACATTAATTATTTTTATACCTTTAGTGTCAAAAATGAACATCATTTTCCAATTGTGATTTTACAGATAATAGTGATAAGAAAAATAAAAATTTGTCATTTGAATATTGCTAAACATGGTATCTCAATAATTTGACATATCGTAATCTCAAGTCAAAAAAATTTTTAACGTATTACAGAAGTGTTGTGAGTTTGAGCCTTGTCCCCATTGGTTAATATAAAAAAATATAAAAAGCAAAGATTTTCAATGTACTTTTTCATTTTGGTTATATTAAAATCGGACACAAAAATGTGCATCATACATAAATGCTAGTATACTCTCATTGTAAAAGAGTGGCCTGGACCATATTACTTTCCAATGAAATATAGATAATATAGATTATTATTTTGAGCATGGCGTGTATGGAAAACCTTGTTACCAAAACAGGATAAATGGCTTAAATTTATTGCGGAAACTTCAAGTCACAGGTTGCGAATTTCATGAATAAATGCTTCGGTGGCTGTTCCAAAACTTCGAATTTTTCAGCGTTGTCAAAGATGATGTTTATAAGCCTTAAATAAATATATGGGGGCTTTTTATGTGTGTATATATATATATTGAATAAGACCATTTTTTGTTCATCTGCTTAAATCCATTGAACCATGTCGGAAGGACTAACTGGTATGTATGTCAAACAAAAAAAAAAATTATTTTATTTCTTTTCGAACGAGGGAGTTGACAAAATAAATTAATATCCTTCCGAAATATAGTTGGCATCGATTTGGGAACATCATACTCATGTGTTGGCGTTTGGAATAACGACCGAGTCGACATCATTGCAAATGACCAGGGCAATCGCACAACTCCTTCATTCGTCACTTTCACTGACAAAGAAAGGTTTATCGGTGATGCGGCAAAAAACCTCATCGCGATTAACACTTATAGTACTGTCTTTAGTACTAAATGTCTCATTGGTCGTAATTTTTACGATAAAGATGTTCAAAGATATATTAAGGTACTGTATCCATTTTCATAACAAGAAATAATAATAATAATGATAATAAATTTTTTTTTAGATGTTGTCATTCGAAAAATTGGCTGAGAGTGAATAGTCGAGTTTATATGAAACTTTTTTTTTTTTTTATTTTTATAATTTAGCATTGGCCATTCAAAACTTTCAACACGAATGGAAGGCCATTTGTGCAAGTCGATTATAAAGGTGAGGAAAGAAATTTTACAACCGAAGAAATTCTTTCAATGATACTGATAAAGATTAAGGAGTTTGCAGAAGATTCCCTTTGTAAAAAAGTTAAAAGTGCAGTGATTACGTCACCGGCTTACTTCAATGCCTCACAACGTCAAGCTTTAAAAGATGCCGGTACGATCGCCGGTTTGCATGTGCTTCGTATCATTAGTGATCCGAGCGCAGCAGCCATTGCATATTATGGATTGGATAAGAAAATTGTCGGTGAACAAAATGTTCTCATCTTAGATTTTGGTGGTGGTACTTTTGAAGCCACTCTCTTAACTATCAAAGATGGAATTTTCGAAGTGAAAGCCACGGCTTGTGACACACACCTTGGCGGTGAATATTTCGACTATCGACTTGTAGATTATTTCGTTCAAGAATTTGAGCGTAATTATAAGAGTGATCTTTCAAAAGATGCTCGTGCTCTCTGTCGGTTAAAAAATGCCTGTGAACGTGCAAAACGTTCACTTTCAACATCAAAAAAGACTTTCATCAGTATCGATTCTCTTTTCGAAGATATCGATTTTCATTCTTCTTTAACTCGTACCAAATTCGAAAAATTGAATCGTGACTTGTTCAAATCTACGATAAAACTTATTGAAAGAGTGCTAAGAGATGCTAAACTCTACAAAGGACGAGTTCATGAAATTGTCTTGGTCGGTGGTTCAACACGCATACCAAAGATACAAAATATGGTATCCGAGTTCTTTAATGGTAAAACACCAAACAAATCCATCAATCCTGATGAAGCCGTTGCTAATGGTGCTGCCGTTTATGCTGCAATGTTATCTGGTGATACTTCCGAAAATATTCAAGACTTGAATTTAATCGATGTCAACGCTGACTTTGGTTTATCTATTGGTATTAAAGCTACCGACGGTGCCATGAAACCGATTATTAAGAGTAATGACTCATTACCTATTCGGAGAACCGTAATTATATCTACCTATTTTGATAATCAATCGGAAATACCTATTAAAATTTATGAAGGTAAATATGCCTGCACCATAAATAACAATTTTCTTGCCGAATTCGAATTGTCCGGAATTCCTCCCGCACCAAAAGGTACCCCGCAAGTAGAAGTCACCTTCGATATTGATGTAAATTGTACCTTAAAAGTATGTATCATCATATTTTCAATTATCATCATTGTATTATTAACTTTTATTAATTTGTTACAGGTATCCGCGGTTGATAAAAGAATTGGAAGACCAAACATGTTAACCATTACGATTGACGACGGTCGATTGTCAAGGGAAGAAGTCGAACGCATGAGTATGTAATTAAAATCGGAATCTCATATTTTCATAATGAACTTTTATTAACATACATTGTATAATAATAGTTGCCGAAGTCGAGGAATATCGTGTAGAAGAGGAGAAAGTTGCACAAAAGTTACAAGCACGAAATGAATTGGAAAGTTGCGCACATAGTTTACGTAACAAGCTTAAGGTAATTTTTTTTTTTTGGTTTAATTTGTTATAAGATCGATATACTAAATTCAAATTATTCTTAATCAAAGGAACTTGAGGTTGCTATCCAAGAATCAATTATGTGGCTTGAAAATAATCAAGAAGCGGACAAGGACGAATATGTTAAGCAGCAGAAATCACTCGATGCAATTGCGAACCTTACCGCGACTAGGCTTTGCTTGTATGAATATAAACTTTCTTAATGTTTTATTAAAAAAGTCTAGATAAATTTATTTCTTAATTCTTTTTTTAGAAAAACAACTGAAGAAGGGGAGCAAACAATTGAAGTAGATTAAATAAAAAGTTTTTGAAAAGTTTGTTTTTTCAAAATGTAAAGTTACCATTAGACTCACAATATTCAAAATTATTATTGATTATCCTTTTAAAAAAAAAAAAAAAATTTGTATTATATTTTAATGTAAAATACTTAACCTTTCTTCTAAAGTACTTTCTTTATATTTGACTTTTAATAATAATCGTATGTTCGAATTACGATTTTTAAATATAAATTTCGTTGAATATGTACATTGACATAACCTATGAGAATTATAAATAATCATCGAAAAGAAAAGATTATTTTTTAGTAATATAAATCGAGCAGTTTGAGTCTGTACAAAATAGCATATTAAGAAGTTTGGATTAGTAACCTTTAAATCCTTTAATTTTTTTTTTTTAACGCCAACAAAATGTTACGCCAATCAAATAGCCCAGGTGTAAAATTTTATATACGTAATATACTTTTTTTTAGCTTCGTATTTTTTTTTTTTAGATATAGAACCAAAAAAACTCGATTTTGAAATCGATTTTGATATAGATACTTTTTTTTCATGAATTGGTTAGCTTTATAGATGAACAAAAATTTAAATATGTTATATTTATTCTATTATTAATCAAAGCAAATATCTGAAATTTATCATAAACTTTCAAATTAATCCTTTTTTTTTTCCTACTGATTATACTACTCAGCAAGCGATTTATATTTGTAATTATTGAATCGTCAATTATAAAATTTAACTGATTCGATCTTGAATATGTAAAACCGAAAATATTTTATTTAAAATTCAGTTAACAAATCGTTATCATTGATGACGATTCATTTTAAAGTACGCATTTTATTGAAATTATTTAAACAACATAATAAAAAAATGTGAAAATGGTACCATCATAAGAATGTGCGCAACCAGACGTAACATGTCGGGATGGATGTTATATAATTTTACTAGGAACGTATAAATAATACAAACAATACCATAAAAAATCATATTCCGATTCCAATATGTTATACTTTAAAAAAATTTTCTTGGTAAGCACCTGATCCAGGCTTAAACAGTTTTTTTTTTTTAAAAAAAAAAAAAGTAAATTTCCTATTAAGTAAAATTAACAAACGTCAAATGTCATCTAAATTATGGCGCGATTTTAATAAAAAATGTTTTTCCTCAAGAACAAAGATAAAAAAAAAAAAATGGTTCGGTTAAACTAATATTTTATAAAATTTATAGGTGACGTGAAACTCTCATTGATAATCTGCAGTTCGGAGGTGGTTAAATTTAAGTAATAATAGATATGGAGATGGTAACAGATCTTACATCAATTTTTTCTTTCATCTTTAATTTTATTATAAAAAAACAGCAGAGCTTTCAAACTTTTAAGTATACTTTTTCTCCTCGTACTTCTCATACCTAAAACATCGCTCGCATTCCAAACAACTTACTATCTATCTTAGCTAAAACTTTTCGAACGAGCTTTTCGTGCTTTGACAAGGTATTTGTTGTATTAGTCATGGCTTTCCATCCTGGTTACGAGCTCAACAATATTCGCGAAATATTGTTGACTCGAGAAGTTCATTTCTATAGACAAGTATTACCCAAGTGCTATAACGTATAGATAAGTAATTATCTTTATGTGGTCGTTCCTTTAATACATTGACTCTTAAGATCTGACTCCCAACCGCCCTAAGCAAGAATTCCTTACTCTTTCAATAATACTTAGGTACAGTACTAATCTTACCTTTGTTTTTTATTTATCATTCTAATAGGCGTATCGGTGAAATCGTGCTGTTCTAACCCTTCTCGCTATTGAAATTATTTGAACGACGAATTCTTATTTTTCGCGCTTTGGCAAGGTATTTGTTGTATAAGTAGTGGTTTTCCATTCTGGTTACGAGCTCAACAATATTTGCGAAATATTGTTGACCTACAGGTTCGAATACCCGGGATGTTCATTTCTATAGACAAGTATTACCCCAGTGCTATAACGTAATTATCTTTACGAAGTCGCTCCTTTAATACATTGACTCTTAAGATCTGACTCCAAACCGCCCTAAGCACGAATTCCTTACTCTTTCAAAATACTTAGATTACAAATCTAAATTTTTGCTTTACTGTTTATTATTCTAATAGGCATAACGGCGACGATCATACAATTTGTACTCTTTTCATTGTGGAAATTCGTTTGTACACGCTCTTCCCATAGTTTTTCGCGCTCTTTACAAGGTATTAGTTGTATTGGTAGTGATTTTCCTTTCAGGTTACGAGCTCAACAATATTCGTGAAATATTGTTTGAACCTTCCGGTTCGACATGCCCGGGATGTTCATTTCTATAGATAAGTATTACCCTAGTGCTTTAACGTATCGATAAGTAATTATATTTACGAGGTCATTCCTTTAATACATTGACTCTTAAGATCTGACTTCCAACCGCCTTAAAACGAATTCCTTACTCTTTCAATAATACTAAATCTTAATCTATCGTTTTTTCTGTTTTTCTTTATCATTTAATGGGTAGGTATTTCAGCGGCTGGTAGTGGATTCTTAATGTTAACTTTTCACAGTCCAAAATATAGGAGGTACTACCGAGGGGGGACAAAAATATTGCACAGTTTTATTTTAGCAATAAATTTTTTTGTATTAGGATAGCAGATCATTTTTTTTTATATTCACAAATAACACATCAATATTTAGTATGTCCTCCTTTAGCATCGATCACCGCCTGAATTCTATTTGGCATTGATCGCACCAAGTCAC